CTTTGGCACTGTACACAGAGCTTGGCAACCCAACATTGGGGTTTGTATTCTATTTCAGTTTCAGGAACTTAAAATATAGGAAGTAAATATAATTTGCAGATATCGGAGATGTCTGTATTAAACATTGGAACACAATGAGAGCACCTTCAAGATTAAAATGACTAAGCTAGTTCCAGAGCCACAAATAATACAGTTGCATTTGTATGGCTAGGCTGCCCTTAAGACCCTTGATGGAGGGTATCACTATGCTCTCCTGGAGGCAGCTGAACTCATCACTACTAGGGATCTCCAGTTCTCTAAGGCAGATTCCAAAGAAGTAGGGGAAAGGACTTATCCAGATATTTTAAGTATAGCTTAATGCTTGAGTCATAGGAACCCTGAAGCAGTACTATCCCAATTCAGAAAAGTACTCAAGCAGGAAAGTAGGCATCAGTCAGCTAGGATGAAATCACATATTTATGGTGTGCTTAAGTGCTTAGCTAAATCAAGATACTTTTCCTGGATTTTGACCAAATATGGTCAGTATGAGTATATATTATGACAGAGGAACAACAGCCTACTGAGAAGGGTGACAAATGAACAGTTTGAAAGAGATTGGTAGTCCCTGCACCTCTAATTAAGAAAGAAATTGCAAACTACCTAAAAGACTGTAAACTTATTTTTCAGCCTCTGTCTTTAAAAGTGATTTTAAGATATGCCCATCAACAGTATTTAAAATACAATTACTTATTTTTCATTTATGGTGTAAAAGTTAGATTAAAGAAGGGAGAACAATTTCATTCGGAGATTTGTTGTCATTTGGATGTCTTATGGCATTTAGGTCTCTTGGCTGGGCAGACAGCTGCCAAGACAGCTCTCATCATCTTCCGCACTGGAAGCCTTATGAGGAGCGGCTGAGGGAGCTGGGGTTGCTTAGACTGGAGAAGAGGAGGCTGAGGGGAGACCTGATCGCCCTCTACAACTACCTGAAAGGAGGTTGTAGTGAGGTGGGGGTTGGGCTCTTCTCCCCAGTAATTAGCGATAGGACGAGAGGAAATGGTCTCAAGTTGCGCCAGGGGAGGTTCAGGCTTGACATTAGAAAGAACTTCTTCACTGTAAGAGTTGTTAGGCATTGGAACGGGCTCCCCAGGGAGGTGGTGGAGTCATCGTCCCTGGAGATGTTCAAAAAACGTTTAGATGTGGCACTTCAAGACATGGTTTAGTGGACAGGGTGGCATCAGGTATACGGTTGGACTTGATGATCTTTGAGGTCTCTTCCAACCATAATGATTCTATGATTCTATGATTCTATGATGATTTGGCTTTCAAAGGTCTATAACTGTCATAGGACTTCAAGATAATATAACACAAGGTGATCTTGCAGGTAGCTGGAATCTATTATATCATTAATTTTCAAAAGTTTAGGCAAGCCTTGAAAATTTAATATGTGTTCAGTAGCAAGTAGGTCATTAATGTAAAGCACTCTTGGTGGTCTTGTAATAGCAGGTGTTGACCTGTCATTTAAGGTCTACTCTTTGTAGGCCATAACACAGTACTTGCTGTAAGATAATGTTGGTAATAGCTTATGATCATCATTACAGACAGGATAGGATAAGAGTAGGAATAGTACTAAGCATATACAAGTGAATATTAAAATCTATTTATATCTTCTTAGTTTTAGCTGGGGTAACTATGTTAGATGACTAGAAAATATATTGGATGCACAAGGCAGAGAAGAGCTTGGACTTTTCACTGACAAAAACAGCCAACAGAAGCAAATCTGCTGCAAAGTGGCCAAGAGACACCATGTTTATTTTATTCCATGAATACTATGGAATAAAATTCCATTAAATTTATTCCCATGTAAAAAAAGTACTTAAAAGATGAAACACATGAGACCAAGCATGACATTACCCAGAAACTTGCATTAAGCTTCTGAGAGTTTTATCTGAATAGCAATTTCAAGAAAGTTCTGTCAAATAGAATACACAATACTTAAAAACTATCCGCACCAAGCAATATCTACAGTATCTACAGCAAACAGTTGAGCATAGTGCAGGGAAGCCCAGACTGGTGGAGATTGTGTTACTTCTGAAATGAGCTATCTCTGTAAGCCATAGGAGTAAAAGATAACAGCCTAGTCTTGCAAAGAGGATTGCCTCTCAGCTGGGTATGGTGTCGCACATGGCCTTGAATTTTAGCATGAAAGTTAGTACCTCCATTCAGCCTTTTGCTGTAATGTATAGACATAGTTTGGGTTGATGCATACTTATGCATCTCTACACTGCACTGATAACCAAAGATTCCATACGAATGATGTTTAATAGAAACATGGATCCAACAGGTTTCCAAGAGAGACACATCTCTAAGTTCCCAGAATAGGCTGAGTCATGGTACAGCATGCCTAACCAAATTATGAAAAGAAAGGTTTTATACATAAGACATCTTAATTCAATCACAAATTCACACAGCTAACCTCTTTGCAGAAACTGCCCATCATGTGTAGTTGTGGCCAATGCTACAAAAAGTCTGTAAAGGTTTTTTGAAATGTTGGATTTCAGATAGAATGCTTTAGCCTGAAGGACAGCTAAGGAATAGAGGTACATTTCAGTGGAGCTGAAGTTTAGGAAAAAAAAATAAATTATAAACTGGTATAAAACTTGGCTGGACTTTGGGGGGTGGCTCTGATTCAATATTCAGAATAGCAGAAAAGCTGCTAAAAGATACCAACTAACATGCATTCAGAAGCTGAAACCCTATCAGACACCGACATTAACTTAATTTTTTTCAGAAAAAAAAAAACAAACAAAACTTTTTGTCAAGGTTTTCCAATTGTTCAGAATGTGTTAGAAAAGATTTAGAAATAGCAACAGCATGCAATTCCTTCAAACAGGATAAAACGTTTGGTATGCCACTTGGTGTATCACTTGCACAGATTTTAAAGGATTAAGACCCAGAGAAAATCAGGGGACCAAGAGGAGATAAAAGGTTTGTTATTTTGCTCTTCCTTCTTATAACCTGTTTTAATACCAACGGGGTGGAATAAACTACAATAAAGTCAATGAACCAATTGTTTGCTCTAAAGATTTTATCTATCAATAGTGGACTATGAGAGATGAGTAAGTATCTGGAACAGGAAAGTTACTGAGAAGATTGTGATTTTACGTCTTCTCTTTGGCACTAAATGAATTAAGGACTAAATTCCAAAACCCAAGGTGAGTCCACTAGGAACGATCCAATAGAAGGAACTGAATTTGTCAGAACAAATACACATCTCTACATGTGAGCTGGCCACCCAGACCTACTTTGTTCTCAACAGTGAGAAATCAACACTTTCAATGATCGATTTATCTTACTACACAGGGCAGATCAACAATAGGTCAAATGAATCTCTCCAGGTATACAACAGATGTCCAAGGTTAGATGAGATTAAAGGCACCCTTCATGTTTCTTCAACTAATAACAGTCATATAAGAGATTCAATAGAAAGTTACTTCCAAGCATTAGCTTTCCTGAAGCTTAAAAGAAGAATCAGCAGAATCATTATGTAATGATTTTGTAGACACACCATGACACTTCTGTCTGATAAAAATATTTGCCTGTAATATTTCATTAAATTTAAAGTTACTGTGTAGCAACTATAAGAGGTTGATGGCTGCCAAGAGCTGTGAGGTTGCTGAATAGAACGGTATTTCTGGAGCCTTTCCCAGAGTTGAGACAAAATTTGACTCATCTTCATGCATACATTTGCAATATACCTCCAAACTAAAATAAGGATTTAACTCCATCACGAGGTTCTAGTGATATCATGTTAGAGCTAAGAATTGATTATAACAGCTGTATTCTTTGGGATGTTTGTGACCTTGAGTTGTGTTCTCCCAGAATGCACATGCCTCAAGTACTGATTCAGTTGTTGGTAGCAGGATAATTATAATTTGAGCTCCATTTTGTTTCTTTGTACTACTTCAGAGCATATTACCAAATATTGCAGTGAGTAGGAAATACTGCTGTTGGGAAGGCTATGCGTGCAAGAATTTAGAAACTGTAGGATAAGAACTGAGCTAGATCAGGACTGATGAATTTGTATCTATTTTTGCTTTCATTTTCAGCTAACAATCTTCCAACAAAAAATGGAGATGAAAGATTAAGAGAGGAACAAAGAGAAAATGTGAAAATTGCATGACATTTACATGACATCATTCTGTTCGATCTGCTTATATGTTACAGCATTTTTTTCAATCTTTTTCTGACCTATCTGTTCAAATGGTAAGCTTCTTGACATCTACCCCGTCACTTATTGAATGCTCATGCCCTTTTGAGTACTAGCGGAGTCCCAGTCTCAAGTAAGATTTTTAGGCACTACCATGATACAAACACTAATAAGAAATAACTTACAACAGCTAACTAATATTCCATCTTTTTTTATAGTTAATCTGTTGATCTGCATACTGAAGAGATCAGTAAATAATAATCTGGGAATGGAGATAAGAAATGTTTTTTTTTCAATTACTGAAGCACTACTTCTTCCAAGTATCATATCATCTATCAGAAGATGGAAGCACTAAACCCTATGAGTTCAAAGGGATCCCATGAGCTCTAGTTGCTCTGTTTCTTGTACACATATGGTTTGATTCCAGTCTTCTACTGGATAACCAAGCAGGTTTCGAAAGTGCTTGTACTTTTACAAAGAAAGGTTGTTCTGCAATTTTTCAGAAGGTGAACAACAATACAGTGAGAAAGTTATCAGCGTGCACTCTTCACAATATATTATTGCACCAGTCACAAGGCTCATATTGGTCAGCTGCATTGCAACATTTTGACATATGGTAATTACCACAGTGGAGAAGAAAAGGCTCAGAAAGACAGAAAGGAATTATAATTCACGGTGTTAAAACAGTATTAACAATAGATACTGCAGCAAAATGCTGTCTTTTGTTATCACTATGCAGTAATACAATAGTTTAAGTTATTCTTACTATTTTGTCTAATTACTCTCAAAAAAATGCAACATTTACTCTTACCACTGAGAAGCCAGTGTGGAGAAGATATCAGTGGTTTCAGGTTCTTGGAACAGTTTCAAAAGTTCTGGTTCAGATGATAAGTCAGCAAGGATCCTTAACTCAATATGGGAAAAATCTAGAAAACAAAGTGCTAAAATAAATCTATTGCTCTAAAATAAAAACATACCTGCATTTTAACCAAACTATCACAAATTAAAATGCAAGCCTGGACTGTTCAGTCATTTCCTTGTACTCAAAAAAACCCAGACGCCTGTAAAAAGCTCATCCTGAAGAAGTCATATTTCAGCTACAGATCACAAGGTGTCTGATTCCTTCATTATCTTCAGGTGTCAATTAATCTTATAAGCTCTTTGTTTCTACTGACAAGGCTTACGTATCATCCACTTCCAAAACACACTAAGGAGTATACATCATATAACAATATTAATTGATACTAAGGGATTTGACAGCCTTGTAAAATATAATGTGATCCAAAGAAGAGGGGACAAAGAGATAACAGAACTGCAAACATTAATATGTATGAGAATAATAACACATACTCTTACCTGCTGCTAAAAATGTATATCCTTTTTTTGAAACAAACAATGTTCTTGGGCAAATAGTTACTATTTCTTCTTCTTTTCCTAGAGAGGAGATAGACATTAAGACCCGAATCCCAGTCCAAAAATATCATGTTGCAAACCATAGGAGGTTGTAAATGACATACCAAACACACAACTAAAACCACACAAATGGCAATGCAAGCAACCTAGCAGAGCACTAACTGCATGCATCACAATTATTTTACTCTATCAGTCATGTACAACATCTTTATCTCTGCCATACTTGCAGAACCGCTTACTTCTTCTCCTCCTTTTCCAAAATCAAACCGTTCCCAAAACACTACCTAACAAATACCTACAATAACTAACATTATTCACAGATCACTTAATAAAGGAGGCATTCAGATAACAAGGGTTTATAGAGATGAACTAAAAATATATTTTCTTATCTTTGAACATGCTGCAGCAATGTGTTAATAACCAAATTCTGAGTTACAGGTGGTAGGGGAATACAATATCGAGAACATACAGCCAATATAGGCATCCAAATTCTAATGACAGAAATCCCCTATAATATCACAAAGCAATAATGTACATTGACAAGGTATTAGAAACTCAGTGCATCTTGTGAATACCACTTGTCTTGATGTAGAAACACAACAGAACTAATCTGATCAGCATAAAAGTGGAAAAAATAAGTGTGTCTTGACATAGGAATGAAAAAATTAGAAATACATTTTTGAGAAGCACATACTATAAGATCACTAACAAAACTGATTGAACTGCTTCCAGAAAGGCCTATGTGCCACAGTTATGCACGGCAGCTCAGGTTTACACAGTCACTGCTCACACTTTTCTTTTTATAACAACTTTTAAAAATACTTATGAAAATGAATCAGGTAGATAAAATAAAAGTGCTGTCAAAGTTTTACATTTACATACAGACTCTTGTTTTATGATCTGTATTATTTCAAATGCAGGGAGTAAATAGCTGTGAAAAGGCAAGCGTGCCCTTATCTGAGAACCAAGTGCAACAAATGAGAAGCATCTCCCAGGTATGGCTGTAGGCATTCAAGGAGGACAGTTTATGTTGGCAAATCTCTCTCTTATATCCAAGTCTACTATTGTGAGTTTCTCTTCTTATCACTTTGGTCATGCTTGTGTAGACTTTACTTTGATTCTCTCTGAATCATGTGTCTTAAATTCACTTCTGTTATCAAAACCAACACATCTGACTAACTATTGGTGTTTAGTAGTGAATTTGCTTAAAATGACCCAGCTTTAACATCTCAGGCAAAGCCTTATGAGCTGAATGCACACAAAATCGTCCCTAAGATATTTAATGGAGTTAAGATGCATGATTTTATCTGGAAGAAGGAACAGGGAGAGAATTGAAGCAAACAAAAAAAAAATTCTAAAAGTTTGTGACTATTTAGATCAGTGCTGAAACATCAATTTTTTTTGCCAGAACAATCAGCAAAAAGTAATTGGTTTAAATGATAATATAACTAAGCGTCAATAATCTATTCTATTCTTTAATGCTGGAGCTATTGGTCTGCTTTAAAATATAATATAATTCAGTAAAATAGATAAAATTGGCTTTTCATGTTAAAAACTTAGTTTACCTTTTATGTATTGTTTCTTTGTAATTCTAACTGGATGTTTAGAGATACCTTGAATGTTCTACAAATAAGAAGAATAAAAATGCTTAGTAAGGTAAAGTTTATGAAAACATGTTTATGAACAGTTTATAAAAGGCATAAGAACATTAGTGATACTAATGCCAACAAGTTTCTCCCATATAATAAATAAGATTAACCACTTTGCCTTTCAAAGGAATCTTCACACTTCTGTAACTATAGATACTTCTGAATATTTGCTCTTTCTTGAAAATTGGAAGCTTGTAAGAACAATTTCTCACTGGCAGCCTTTCCAAATCCTAATCTTTGGATGCACTACAGAACATAATTAGTAACCCAATAAACATAATTTTCTTATTATTTTAACCTGTATTTTTTTGATATGGTGCATTATTTTCAAGAAAATAATATGTGTGAACCCTGCCTTAAGCAAGGGAACAGATTCTTCTTCAGCCTCTAGAAATTTTTCCAGTATCCATTCCCACTTTTTTGAAATGCATGATAAAATAAAGAAGGAGCTCTTTATTAACTACAGCACATCAGTCAAGGTTAAAAGTGAAAACTAACTTTATCAACAAACATGCAGGAACAGGAATAACAGAAGATTTTTCTTTAAAGATCTGGGTTCATACACCTCTAGTAAAGCATGAAAGATGACACACGATAGCTTCATTCTGTTATTTTACGTCAATATACCTCTTCATCTAGAAAGGTAATACATGACAAGAGATAATATGTATCAAGCTCAATTTTCGTAATTCCACGCAATTAATTTGCAAGTGCTTCAGGAATTAGATGAACATATTATGCAATACTGTGAATTCAGGAGATAGGAATAGCGATACATAATTTCCGAATAATCATTTTCTATGTAATTTTGAACTGAGAACTGTTATTTTAAGCTTAAGAGGGATGTAATCAGACTGCAAAAGCTTTTGAAATTTAAAGCAGAAGTAAAAGAACAAACCTCACAAAACAGTAAGACTAGAAATGATACTATTCTATCACCTGTAAAGATCTACAATTCCATGTATTAAAGTTCCCAAAGCACCAGAGACAGAGAGGCAGGAAACTACTACGTAATATACATAATATTTTCACAGCATGGGTAAACTAGGAACACTGCTCTCAATCCATGAATACAAAGTTTGGCCCAGAAGAAACACTTGCCGTCTTTAATATTTTATTCTTCAGTTTCTAGAAACATTTAAAAATACGGTCACGACAATGCTTACTGTAATGTTACTAGCCATATTTTGAAAGAAGTTGTTAATTAATCTGTGCACAAAACTAACATTTCTATTGATAACTATTGATTTCTATCGATAACAAGTTGGGGAGGATCAGTGCTTGTTTGTATGAATAATATGTGGTTTAAGTGGCCATGGAAGCTAGTAGATCCTCAGAAGTTTAGAAAAACAAGTCCTTTATTATGTGTCTGGAATCATTTTAATGGTAGAGATCATCGTACAGACTTTTCATGGGGCTCTGTACTGGTATTGACATGTACTTAACAAGATAACCTCCAGCGCAGGTTAAAGAGTTGTTTATAGTTACTCTTACTGATTATTGTTCCTTAACTTGTCAGCTTCAAACCCTGAACAAAGTGAAATAAATTTCAAAATCTATCTACAATGGTAAAAATAAATCACTATATTGTCATCTTGTTTTCACTGACAGCATATGCAGAAAGGTCTGCTTTTAATGGAATTTTAGAAGTGTCACTAATAATTCTGAAAAACTCTAGCAATTGCAAGTGCAAAATGTACTTTCTCTTTTAAATTAGTTAGTAACTCATAATTTGAATAAATCTTCAGAAAAGAAGCAACTCAAGAAACATGAAAGTGGTAATGTTCAGCCTTAAGCTATAGGAATAGCTTAATAGATTCCTCTTGTCTAATTTTAGACATCTCTAGGCTAGTCAATGGTCTAAACTAGCTGTCTAGAATCCCTCTATAGTCAGTAGACAAAGACAGGAATCTCCAGTGGGTAGTTCAGTCTATCTGTATATGACACATAGTTACAACAAGTTGACTTCAGATTCCTTTGGAGATGTTTTCCAAGATTTAGATTATCAAATTTGATGAGATAAATTTACTTTAGATGTTTCAAAGGATGGAGAAATAAGGAGAGAATCTCAGAAGAGTCTCCCAAATGGAAAGCTTTCCTCTACTTGGGTTGAAAACTAGATAACAGTTTTATTGTATCAAAAGTGAAAGATTGATGTGGCTTTGGTAAATGACTATTACCACCTTGGACTACATAATACAGCCCGTATTTCTGCTTTTATATATTTATTTCAAGTATATTTCTGCAAAACCTTCACAGATACAATGTGAGATGTGTCTGTTATCCCTTATTGTCAGAAAAGGGCCTCCACATCTTGTTAGAAGCTACAGAGAAACAAAATTGCTCTCTCTGAACAATTACACTCTAACAGACAAGAA